TTCATGACCCAACTAGGTAACAACATCAGTGCTAGGAGGGAGGGGGATTTGTGGGGAGGCAGGGGAGGAAGAGGAGGACTGTGAGGCCCTTGGTACTCTCTGAGCTTGGCTGTTTTCTTGCAAATGTTTTATGACCCAACCAGCTAATAACATCAGTGCAAACCCTCCTCCTTTCTAGTCGTGATGATGTTACTTAGTTGGGCCACGTAATGTCTGCAACTCAGAGAGTACCAAGGACCCATCGTTTCAACCCCGAGCTACAAATATTCTACTTTATTGGTATTTAAGACGATCTTTCTTCAGGGTTGCTCAAGGATGAAGATCTGAGCGGACATCCAACTGTTTAGGGAGCGTCTCCCATGACTTTAATGGTTTTCTGTATTTGTCTATCACTCAGGATCTGACTAAGACAAACCAGAACTATGCCAAAACAAATTAAATTACATTAAAATTAATAAAAAAATAAATAAATTTAAATCATCTTCCTGCAATATGACCAAGAAACATGAATGTTTCTGCCATTAAGACACTTAAATAACATCTTTCTTCAGGGATGGTCATGCTTTGAGTAGAAGGTCTAGTTTTTAATATTCTCATTATTTTAATTGGTTCCTGACCCAGGAACGGAGTAATTGGGAGAAACCATAAATATGCTTTAAAAATGCTCCAGAAGACTGTCTTTCTTCCAAAATGGACAGGGATGAAGGTTCGAATGGACACCCCACTTTTTCATGAACTGTTTCCATGTTTTTAATGGTTTCTCTTATTTTTCTATTGCCCACCATCAAACACTCGATATTCAACTGCATCAAACTGTTGTTCCATCTAGTATGGTCTACTCTGCTTTATATAACGCCCATTGATGTGAGCTTGGAGACTATCCATGGTCTTCAGGAGTAGAGAAGGCCCCTATTTGGAAATGCTGAAGGTTGAACCTGGGGTCTTTGCATGGAAAGCAAGAACTCAAACTCAAAGCCACTCTGGTAGGACATCCCATGGGGTCCATCCAGGACACCCTCCTATTCCTGATCTTAGGGGCAAGAACGGAAAGAGATGAATAGTGATGGAAGGTGTTCCATTCCTCTTGAAATAAAAACTTATTCACAAAAGGCACCCCAGATGTGAAACTTGCTGATCCCCAAAGAGCCAAATAGGTACAGGAGTGAGGTTGTCTTGTCCGTCCCCATTGTTATGTGTGACCTTGTTAGGGATACAACCTAGCAGAATCTGCACGGCAGTCAGGCAGGCAGGCAAACTATGTGAGATACACGTTTTTGTAGCTTACACTCAGTAAAACAGATACACTGTGCTAGTTAAATAGTTTATTCCAGTAATAGTTTTAGCATAGTCAAAACAGTCCATATATAATTCACTAGTTCAGTCCGTCCGGGGATTATTCAGTTGCAAATTCCAGTGTCGAAAAAGAGAGGTCAGTAAACTTACAAATATCAGTCCAGTAATGTATCTCCTTGCAGTAGAGATATGAAGAAGTCAAACCTCCTTTCTTCCTTCAGCAGTAGGGAACAGGCAGTTAGCAAACCATCAATCCAGGAATCCAGCAATCATCAGCAATCCGGCAGGTTCTCTTGCTCCCTCTTATGGTGGTTTCACAACCGCACCCCAAATTACATGCTTTGCAGTTTAAAGTGACACACACTTAAACTTACTATCATAGTTTATATATATTATTTTACCCAAACTACGTTAGGTAACCTTGTTATTCCTAACAGACCTCCTTGTTCTTTTGTTTTCCAGCTGTCAGCAACTCGATGGCCCAAAGCAACGCCTTCCAAGGCGCCATGAGAGAAGTGCCCCTTGGCGATGGAGGTGGTGGAGACGGTGGTCTTTTAGGAGGCCTCCTGGGGGGCAGCGGGGGTGGAGGCCTTCTGGGAGGCCTCACTGGAGGCTTACTCGGAGGAGGAGGTGGTGGTGGAGGAGGTCTTCTTGGAGGTGTGCTTGGTGGTGGTGGAGGAGGGGGACTTCTTGGAGGTGTGCTTGG